TAGCAACATGATCGTCTCTGTATCATGAAAAAACAAAAAGAACTAATTATTATTTTATTTTATTTTTAGGCTCTCAATTTGACATTCACACTGGTGGAATTGACTTAAAATTTCCGCACCATGACAACGAAATTGCTCAATCAGAAGCCCACTATGACAGTGATACATGGGTGAATTATTTTCTTCATAGTGGTCATTTAACAATAGCTGGATGTAAGATGTCTAAATCATTAAAAAATTTCGTTACAATACAACAAGCACTTGAAAAATATACATCAAGACAAATTCGTTTGTTATTTTTATTACATTCATGGTCGTCAACGTTGGATTATAGTGATCATGGTATGGAAAAAGCTTTAAGTTATGAAAAAATGCTCAATGAATTTTTTCTCAATATTAAAACACATTTACGTTCAATGAAACAATTAAATCATTCAAGTGCTTATACAAAACTCGATGAAAATGATCTACAACTCAATGAACGTTTTTCAGCAGCAAAAAAACAAATTCATATCGCCTTATGTGATTCCATTGATACACCAACAGTCATGGAAAATATACGTCATTTAATAACAACAACAAATATTTACATGAACAGAACAAATGCAATTATTAATCGTCTTCTTTTACGTAATATAGCTGCTTATATAACACGTTTAATTGATATTTTTGGTTTAAATGCTACTGGACCATCAATGGATGACATTGGATTTACTCGATCAAGTGAACAACAAACATCATCAATTAATGTTGAAGATATAGCTATGCCATATGTTGAGCAATTTGCTGTATTTCGTGATGCTGTGCGTACACAAGCAATTGCAGTTAAGAATAAAGAAATTCTTACATTATGTGATCATGTAAGAAATGAAATTTTACCAGAATTAGGCGTACGACTTGAAGATCAAGGTATAAATTGAATATTTTTCTTTTTCTTGATAATTATTTTTTTTTTGTTTTATATAATAGCGGGTACAAATAAAGCAACAATAAAATTTTGTGATCCAGAAATATTAAGACGTGAACGTGAACAAGCATTATTAGTTGAAAAAAGTAAACAAGAAGAAAAAGAACGACGAAAATTAGAGCTACAATTAGCTAAAGAAGCAAAAGAAGCTAAGAAAAAAGCAAGTAAAGAAAAAAAAGTATGACAAATCAAATATTCGATAGCTTTTTTTAACAATATATAATGTTGGTTCTATTTTTAGAATACTGATTCAAAAAATGCAACAGAACCAACTAATGTTGAAACTGTTACTAATGGAGCAACGGCCATGACTGATGGTGACTCTTAAAGTTCACATTAATTTTTTTGTCCACTTTTATTTCATTTTAATCATAGTTGTTTTTTCTTTTTGTTGTTGTCGTTACACTGAGGGTTATTTAATGCTCGTTTATTTATTATTCTCTATTTTTGTTATATCAACAATGATTGAGGGAAATGAGAAGAAGAGGATGTGTTTTGTTCAAGTGCTTGTTTTTGTTCTGTAGTAACATTAAACATCAAACATTTAAATATATCAAGATGTTATAATCAATATTTTTTTTCTTTTATTCTCTTATCATTGATAAATACAAATAGAGAACGACATTGGAATGATCATAGACCTGTTGAGAAGTATTTTTAGTTACCAAAATGTGTTTACTGTAAAATCATCACCAAATGTGTTATTCCTATGGTAACAGATGGTATAAGAATAAAAATTACACTTTTATAAAAACAGATGAGACGAAGAAAGTACACAAAATAGAATAAATAGTACAAACTGGAAGTGTGTGGGTGTGGGTATATGAAATGAAGGCCTACACATACACACGCCTACACCTTTAGTTTTACCAATTCAAAATCAATGGAATCATTTTGATAGAATGAAATCATTATTATTATTTAAATTTATCTTGTCAATTAATTGACTTTTGAAACAAGTGCATCAGTTGACACAAAGACACCATCGATTACTCATAAACACTAAGTTTCTATCACTCATATTGCATTAATGCGTTTAGTGATCCAAAGTATCTTTTTCTGGTAAACAAAAGGCAGTTTTTCTGTTGGACTTGTTGACGAATATAGAAAAACAATTGACTCTCAGACATCACTAAACAGTTCGATAGCCATTAATGTTTGCTGTTATTAAATCAGTTATTTCATATTAAGTAATTGATTCAATTGTTGTGCTGGAGACTAAATAGCATACAAACTGGTTATTTAATAAGTGTTGATATACACAATGAATGATTGCAAATAAACGATTCTAATCGTCATTATCGTTGAACATATTTTAACGTATAAAATGGAAGAAGTTTGTTGGTAGAGAAAAGGCTTTAGACCATCACAAAAAGATATCATTCCTTACCCTGTTGCTTTGTAAAGAGATAGCACATCACGCCATCACAAGACATCCTATCAACATACAATCAATTGAGAAAAACAAAAAAGTAAATAAATACATATTCTCTTAAGAATCCTGATGAATATGTGCCTCTTGAAACAGTATTCTTTTTTAGCTTTTTTTCAATTTTACTTCATCACGGTATTGTATTTCGACTTTTTTTAAACAATATTAAAGCATGCTCGAACACATTTCACACCGTCTGTATTTTTCTGTCTTCTTTCGCAACTAGAATAAATCCGGTTTGTAAATTATTTTTTCACCGAAATACGAGAGGATTGACGTCAATCATCTGCATTCCATAGGTCTCATGAAGAAAGAAAAATCTGCTAGTTATTGTAAGCCAATAATAGAAAAAAAGTAAACACTTGTCGTAATTAAAATATTCATGTTGATGCGCGTTCTACGATGGTATGATTTAGAGATTGCTTGCAGAAATCAAAACTAGAGACGAATATTTAGAAGCTTTTCTAACAGTGTGAGTCCTTTACATGAATGTCGTACATACGAAAATTTACAACATTATCCTCATATTTCTTTCACTAATTCTATTATTCGATCTTACATAGATTAGATTTTTCAAGAAGAAAACTTCAAAGAGAAGAATCTCGATTGATGTCGCGCTTTGGAGCTGATATTTTGTTGATAATTGGAATTTGGTGATACTGATAAAACTCCAAATGGATAGTTCTTTTGCGTGGCCTGATTGACATCCTAATCCACCTATCTACATCCGAATACCCACACCTACATCCTTCTCAGGTCACACTGTTATGGTGTTAAATTCAAGATGTGGGTGTTAGTACGGCTGTCGGTGGATGTGTGGATTGAGATAGATATACGCTTCTAGTAGTGGATGTCGATGATGATAAATATATGGATTAGCGCGTGGGTGAGAATACTGATGAGGATACACAAAAAATCCTCAATGAAATCCATAGTTACAAACTAGCGACGAATAGTTTTGCAAAAAATTATCCAGTCACTCTCTGATTGAGTTGAAAATTTAAAGCTTGAACCTAGGTGAGTGCATATGGTTGCGGATGTCGGTGAATACCTAGATGAAGATTTCTACCAGTGTAGATGTACGCATTTCTGTTGATGGTTGTTATCTTCCCTCAAGTTCTCACTCTTGAGTGCGTATCTTGCTGTAAAATCGTATTTTTAATGCAAATGTTACCGGAATTGAAATGCTCGGTAAAAATTCTTATTTTGTTCCAAGTTCATTTCTATAGTATTTAAAATTTATGAAAGAGTTTCTAGGAACCTGCTCGAAGAGAATTTCGAAACAGTTCGAATGGAAAAATCATACTAGGATGCTGATAAATTTTTTATCAATATCTTTTCTTAAAGTGAGAATTTCATCAAGAAACAGTCAGATTTGTCTATGCACTCTATATCCTAAATAATCTCTTTTGCAGAGAAATTATTAATTTATTATGAATTAATTTATGGACCTGCTATCGTCAATGACAGACCAGTCAATCACGCCAAATGCTTCAATAACAGGTATTCTTGATTGAACACATTGTTTTTTTTTCACGTCCAATAAAAATTGCTTTGTTTTAGATGCTTTCAATCACAATTCAGCGACCTGGTCAACGTTCGATGTTGCCACATGGCTGAAATATTGTAATCTCGAACAATATGCATCTGTTTTTCAAGGTATTGTTAATTTGTGTAACTTTTCATTAAAAACATATTCAAGCAATATCGGTTTTTGTTAGAGAATGAGATAGATGGCAGTGTCTTGATGGATGATGATTTTGATGAAACAAAGATCAAAGAACTTATACCTATGATGAAGCATCGGCTATTATTTATGAAGGAACGAAAAAATCTTCGGTTCGTTTCCATGTCAAACAATTTTGGATTGTTATCTTTCTGTATAAATAGAGAGAACAAATCGACTACTTCTCAATCAGTAATGATCAATGCACTAGATAGTTCCAAAAAATCCATACAAACAGTAAGAAAAATTAGGTAATATATTATTGCATTGTGTGTTATATAGATTGAAATCAATTCAACCGAATCGTTGCCTAAGCTTGTTGAAGAAAAGCTGTATTGTTCTGGTAATTAATAATGTATTATTCAAAAATAAAAAAGATAATTATATTCTGATTAGTTCGTACTGGCATGAAAGCACAATGTAAATGGGACGTCAACACAAGCAATATTGTTCGGCTTGATATTGCTGAGCTGCTTCAACCGTGGAATGTTGTACACACCTTAATTATTCCCAATGTACTAAGCACTGAAGCTTCAAATCTGCTGACTAAAATATTTGGGTATCTGCGCGTAACTCCACAGCTAGACGAGTTTGATTCTGATTTTAATGTTATCGTTGACGAACCAATTAACATTGAAATTCTTCTTCAAAATATTAATTCTTCTCGTTCTCTAAAATCTTATATTATCGATAGTTTGAAGCGTTATCATGGCCTATCCGATGTTATGCACATACTCTCGTCTTGTCTCAATTCCACTAGAAATGATAGTTCCTTGGAATCATTTCTAGATATTGTCGAACAAGTTACTAAATATATGCTACTCGTATGTACGATAGAATCGTTATCTTTCGAGAGTCAACGATTTCTAGGAAATATGATACGTAAAAACGATTTACCTATTCCACTGGCTTATTATACACGTGGTGCAAATGAATTTGAATTTAAAGTTAACTTCAATACACTTGCTGAAACTTTTTGCTATGCCAACGAGCACATTATTTTGTATCTTGGCAGTCCAACAGCAATTGGACTCGGTAAAACAAGTGTTCTACCATATTTATTTGAAAACATAAGAAGTGAGCAATTAAATACAGAAGGGAATACACATTTAAGATCCAGCTGTATTGACACCATATTTGCTTCATTAACAAAGAATGATTCATACATTGTGTTTGACGTTCATGGAACGATAACTACAATGAACGAAGATTTAATTACTGCGATTCAGCACTATTCTACTATACAAATTCTCTTCGTGACTGAATCTGATTTACAAAATAAAGATTTTCTGCTAAAAATAATGAATTATTCGACTGAAACACGTACAAAGTCAACGATCGTTGTAATTTTTGATCCTAAATACGGTGAGAGAAGTAATTTGTCTTATGAAATATTTCAAGAAGCTTTTGCTAATGAAAACTGGTACAATACATTCTGGATCACTGCACCTATACTAAGCAGAATGGCGACAGGGTCAAAATTTAATGAAGAACGACGATTAAAACTCTTGCGACAAAGTCTCATGGAAACTTTCAATTCATTGTTGATGGATATTGATATTCAATCAAATTTTGAGTCTATATTTGCTATTCAAGCACACTTTTTAAAAATTAAATCAACAAGTAACGCTCCTCCACCACTCTTATACACATTTGAAATTCAGGAAACGCTTGAGTCTCTATTTAAGCGATTGTCTGACAAAACTGATAACCTAAAACTTGTAACACCTATCACTTATCTAGAAACTGCTAAACTTAAGTGTGAAAAAGAGTTATCTCAACTCTGGGAAGAGTCATCCATTGACTTAAATTGTCAGCTGGAACAAATTCAAAAAGAATATCAATCTATCGATCGTATCCCTGAATATACAATGTTCTTTATCGATCTGCTTATAAAACATCCCTATATCGAACTATTAATAACGGAAAGATATTTGAAGTTATGGCGCACTCAGTATGAGTCATCTTTGTATAGTCAATTAAAAGCAGCAAAAAATGATATTATGACTGTTATGTCCCGTATTAAGCATCTCGAAGAACAATGTCAACGATATACTGATAATAGCAATCAAGCCGAAATCGAAAACACGCTTAACCAAATGCAAGTGTTAAAGGAAGATTACAACTCATATCAAAATCGCATCATCGAAATTGAGAATCAGTTATCCAATATTGACTTGACAATTGGTTTATTTTGCGACGAAATATTTGCACTTTACGAGTATCTTCCTCTCCTCTTTGAGTCGAATCTTACTGAACTGCTCGCGAAAAAGTTTGCTGAACTTATGTATAAAGGATTTTCTTTTCATATTCTGCGCGGGCGCCCTCTTCGATGTTACAGTAAATTGATACAATTATCTCTGAAGTACTTACATCAGTCGACGAAAAAAGTTCCTCTTGTACTGACAGTTATTGGAGAGCAGTCTTCAGCTAAATCCTCACTGATGAATGCTACTTTTGGGTGTAATTTTCGAGTGAGTGCTGGCAGATGTACTATTGGTATGTACTTGAGTGTCGTACGCTGGCAGTCCTATACAATCGTCGTATTCGATACAGAAGGTCTGTTATCACTTGAAGAATCAGGATCAATATTTGATAATGAGATGGTCTCTATGGCAATGCTATCCTCACATCTCGTATTGATTAATCACAAAGGCGAATTAAGTTCTAACCTGGAACATTTGGTTGGTATGAGTTTCTATGCAAAACTACAGATCCGATCTCCTTTAAGGCCAAAACTCTTATTCATCCTTCGAGATCAATCGGATACTACTGCGACGGAAATATTCTTTAGTCAACTTGGTAAGTTTAAAGAAAACTTGTACAATGACAGTAAATTTCTGAAATCATCCATTGATGACGAACTCGAAATCAATGTTCGCAATATCATTTTACTACCAAATGCATTTTCTAGTGACTACAACACTATTTTGGAGGTCGAACAAACATGGCGTAATCGTACATTTCCAATGAAAGTTAACGAGCTTCGGAATATAATTTTCATGAGTTTGATCGATGCTAATATTCAGATGTACCATGATGTACCACAATTGTATCAGAAGATTGCTAGTAACTGGGATGCCATTGATAAACTAGGCCCTAATTTGCTCGCATGTAAAACACTCTATGAACTCTCAGTGATGAATGAATTACGAGACTTAGCTCGAAATATTACAGAAAACTGTATCACAGCTATAAATAATGAAGGTCGCCAGAACATTGATAATATATTATCATCCATCACACATGACAATTATTCACAGTTCGACATAGGGTATTTCTTTAATCAGTTCAACGCAGCATTGCAAATCACTCACAACACGATTATTCGAAAAGCGTTAGATGATTTCAATTCAAAGACACAACGAAGTTGCTTTCCGCACGAAATCAAGCGAAAAGTGGAGAAGCTTATCGAACCACCGATTTTAAACATGCAAGGATTACTACAAGAAGAATTTTCTGATCGTTTATATAAAACACGTCGTGATGCTCGAGTTTCAAATGCACAACGCCGTCTGCTTGATACTGTACAGCAAGAATTTGATAGAAACATAAATTTGAACGCAGAACAATTACAAGAGAGAGTAGAAAAAGTCTATAACGAAGAGCTCGAAATATGTACACAGAATATTCGATCAGAATATCCTACATCGGATCAAATTACGTCGAAGGTTCTCAAATTTTACAACTCTGATTTAAATACTAAGGCTGCAAATACAATCAAAGAAAGTATTTATAATTTATTACGTCCATTAGACATGAATCTGTTTTACAAACGATTTCAACACTTGGAGAAAATGTTCCGATGTGTTATGGAACACAAACAATGTCAACAGCCTTCGAATACTTCGTGGCTTCGCCGTGTCAAGTCTTTTTTCGGAGGCAATGTTGCTAACGATGATGTAACAAATACGTGGCATCAGTTTTATCAGAATGTAGAAGTTTGGTTTCGAGGTAAGCACTATGAGGATAAAAACAAAAAACTATTACTCAAGATTATTGAAAGATGTTTACTACAAATGCGAAATGATATAATTAGTATGGTTAAAAACCAATCTTCTTCAGATCCTCATATTATTACACATATGTTCACTTTTATTGAAAATTTGTATAATAATGAGGTAATTGTTCAATGCAGAAAGCATTTAGAATTGCATCATTTTCTCTTTGATGTTTCTGTTATTGCGCTCAAAATCTTAATTGAAGAAATTATTAAAATTGAACAACATCATCACGACAAAGAAACTGAAAAGGTGTTGAATGATATGAAAGCATGGAAAGAAAGCATTACAACTCAGGTCCATCACATGCACGACTCACTTGAACAAGGCCGAGATATGGCCAATATTGTCAGCGAACAAATTTTCAAAGAAATGAGCCGTATATTACTTGATAAAATCCTTCACGATGTTACTGAAGATATTGCAAAAAGCCAATTTATCAATCACGATTCCATCCAAAACCAAGCGTACGAAGAAAGTTTTGGTCAAGGCAATGGAGAAAAAATTTTGAAGTATGTGTTAGATATTAATCGCTATTTTTGTGAGTTAAGTCTACGTGAAATCAATACAAGACTCGAAGCTATTATTCATATGCATGTGCGAGATGCTGAACAAATTATCATGAATGTGTTCAATATAGCTAATGATACTGCTCAACGAAGCGATTGTGATAATGCACGTTTGATTGCTGATGAGATCAAAAAGAGCATACTCGATATTGACATATTGGCGATGACTGACGATAATAAATTTGCGCTCGACGCGATCATGTTTCTGCCGATCCAAAATCTTTCGAACTTTAAACAAGGTTTTAAAACACTTCTTAACAGCATCGATAACATTCCAGATCGTGTAGCGAAACTGAAACAAGATGTGAAAAAGAAAGCCTACCATGGATGTAAAATACGAATTTTGAGACGCCTCGGTTGTCAAAGCCGCTGTCCCGGTTGTGGTTCAAAGTGTGGTCGACCCGAACCACATGACGAAGAATCAGTCGAACAATGGCCTGAATGTCAATGTGTACCTAGAAAATGCAACTGTGATCGATCTCAATCACAGCTTTTTAAAGTACATGGGACTCCTCATCACATCGCAGAGGCTTTTTTTGGAAGACAATACTACAAGAAGCACACACCGGTTCTTAAGCTTTGCTATCAACAATGGATGACATCTGGAATGATTCTTAGCAATGATGAACATGTTTCTCCTCTTCGAAAATATTATAACCAATACAATCCCGAGTGGTATAACAATTTACATGACCTATCTACCACAGGGAAAGCTTCTAACGAGGACATTCCACCACCTGAACAGCGTCGTGCTTGGATGATTGTTCGTCATGCTCTTGTTTCGCTCTATGCACACAAGGGTATGGTGGATGAAAAGCATTATGATAAAAAATTGTATCCGTCAAATATTGACTCATTACCCAAAGAGTTTGAACCGAAATGGAACGATATAGATAATTAATCCAATGAGGACTAAAGTAAAAAAAAACTGATTAAACACAGAACTATTCTTTCCATTTTTACTATTTTAATAAAAAAGTACACTCAGAAAGAAGGCATGCTGACAACACTTGCCAACTTTTAGTATAAGTCACAAATAAGGTAGATATTTATGTACAAGTATGAGTCAAATAAAACAAAAACAGAGTGTATGAGAATGAATTGATTTGATAAATGAAATATTAATCTATGTATTCTTATGTATAAAATCGAGGAGATCGGTAGACTAGCATCAGTTCGATAATAAGTCTAAAACGTTGCCGAAAAAATCATTTATTATAACTTTCTGATGATAATACTGATAACATGATGGGCCCTACAAGATGCACGTAATCTATTGAGATTTAATGTTATGGTTAACGAAGTTAAAATGGTTTCATGTGTTCTACAGAACTGCTATTTTCTTTTCAGAATGTACGATTATCGAAAATGTCTCTCACATGATTACTAGAAATTGAAAGTAAATGTCCTACTATTAAAGTCACAATGATCAATACTGTAAATGAAACGTCATAGAATAAGAGAACTCTGCACGTTCACAACTTGTCAGGAGTCATATTTTGAACGATCTTCAGGCAGATTCCTCAATTGTTAGTTTAGTATTGATTTCAATTCAGAAAATTGTCTTTTATTCCTTGTTTCATATAGTTTCTCTTTCATTGATATCAAGACAAAAATAATCCTTTTCCTCTATACCTCAGTTAACAATACGCATCGTATCCTTCATCTATTCAAATGAAGACCATGGTTTTGTCTTGTGAACGCTTTTTTTTCTTTCGTATTGTTGAGGTTTAGATATATTTGATCTCTGTCTATCTAAAAATAAAATTCAGATCTAAAAATCTTATTATGAAAACGATCAGCACAAAGTCTTCGAGAATCCTGGAAGTTGCATTGGATTTGAACATGATCATTCGTTTGATTGGCGAGATTCGACAGATGCACTCTTTTCGCGTGAAAATTATGACTGTCATAAACATTGTAAATTACGACGTATCTCGTCATGTACTATTGGATGTGCATATTCTTCTAACTCAACAAGAGTGGACTTTCTATCATTTCCCACTCTAAACATGAAATGTTATTTTATTTGATTTTTGAAAAAAATGACTTAGTTTTTTTATCCGCTGTTCGAACCGATCTAAATAAAAATAAATAAATTATTCGAGCAAAACAAAAGAGTCACTTCTCATTAGGTTATTCAAATTATTCTGTTCAATCTTTGTTTTTCTTATGATTTTCTTGTAATAAATTTTCTATAATACGAAAACCAGAACTTATGCAAAAAAAAAGATTTCAATGTACTAGCAGAAAGCAAATATAAGCTGCTAAATACTAATTTACCAACCACCTCAAGTGTAAGAATACGGTATGCATACAACCTATCGTCATATTATTACGATGATCCGAAGTCATTGACCTGAAACATTAGACAACGTTTAGCTTTACTCATAACAAATCAGCTTTAGCAAGTTGATTTTAATATAGATCGACTTTTTGAGACACAAATCTATAGAACATGTCCGAAGGAAGAAACTAAAGGTTGATAATGGAAGTTTAAAGAAGAAACTCACTGTAAAAAATGTTAGTCGAGATGTCGTTAGTGGAAACATTAAAAAATTTGTATTTGATTGGTTCTTTTTACCTACAATTAAATGATTAATCAATTGATTTTAGGTAAAAAAAAATGGTCTCGTGCTTTACCTGATGTTATTTTGTTTAGTTTAAAAATCACCATTTATACAATTCCATTAGTAATACATATGACAAATAATAAAAATAGTAATGCAATAAAAAAGCCATTTTTTTGCTTCAAGCTAAATTTTTACCGATACTGTATATAAATACAGAATTTTTTTTTTTGTTTTATTTGAGATAATATAAGTGAAGAGCAAAATGGTTGATGATAATGATGATGATGTACCTTTATTGAATGATGATGATGATGAACAATTAATAACATCAGAAGATAGTCAACCAAATGTTGAAGCAGTTTTTGTCGTTACTTTTGATGTTAAAGATGGTAAAACTGATTAAAATTTTTTTCCTTTTTTTTTTCGTCTATTTTTATTAATACTTTAGGTAATACAATCGAATTTCAAATGCCAGAAAAAGAACAAATGTCATTAGATGGTTTAGAATATAAAGCAATACCAAGTGGATCGCATCATATCCATCAAGATTTTGTGTAAGATTTAGTTTTTCTTTTTATATTTAATAAATTCTTCTAAATGAAATTATCTATGAACAATGAATAACATTGACAACTGCCAACATTCATGGTAACCTTGGTTTCAATTGTAAAAGATAATGATTGTTACCTTGACATCTATTTGTCAAACATTTTGTATAAGTAAAAATCAAAGTAACTATGAATGTTCATAGGTACTCATGAAGGATTATTTAAGAATTTCAAAATATCATATTAAAATTATGAGTAAGACTTGAATGAATTTCTAAAATTAGATTATATTGGAAATTTGCTCGAAAACACAAATCATAAGAACTACATTGAAAATATCAGATAAAGCTTATAATTCAATGAATTCATCTAGTATATGTCAAAAATAGCTCATTGATCAATTCAAAATTCTCTGTAGATCATCATTGCATAGATTTAATTTGTTTTTTATTTGAAAGATCGTATCGGACAGCTGGGTCTGGTATAATCCTTTATTGTTGAATTATTATTTTTTATTCAAAGAAAAAGGATGACAAGTTCAATATCTCAAAAAACCCTCAAAAATTGATCATCTCTTTATCGAAGTGCTGTTTTTATATAACAATAATGAAAAAGCTTAATGTAACAAATCGGCTTTGTCAGCCATTCCAGCATTCCATGTTCTGTCAAACAGAAGAAAAACAATTGTCTTCAATGAAGCTACTTCGAGAATTCTGGAATACGCTATCAAAAAAACAACAAAAATTATTTGCTACTTTTTCTGAAAAAAAAGCATATTTCCAATGAGAAAGTGACAATAGTCATAAAAAATTTTAGCAAAAAACAAGATGTCAAATAAAAAATCATATCGCTTATGAAAAATCAGGGATCGACCTATCTTATCATGTATTTATTTAAATTTCAATTTTTCTGACAAAATTTCATATTTTTTGTTAATAGACTAGATTTTAGCCCAAAGAGAATCATGAGAGTGGATGGATATGACTCATTATTCTATGTAGAATAAAAATTTCAAAATTGACATATTTTGATAATGTTAATATTTTTTTGTTTAGATATTTTCGTCATGAAAGTAAATATGGATTGGCTTGTTTAGCTCGAGCAGATACTGTAAACAATGATGATGGATCAGCTTTGTCAGCAATTGATCAATCACAACGTGGTATGCGTATTAAATCTGTTGGTATTTTAACTTCATCTATTATACATATTCAATCATATCTTTATGTTTTACAAAATGAAGCTAGGTTATTAATTTGTGTATTCTCTTAACAAAAAAAATTAACCTTTTAATCAATATTTAGAATTTATCTTCATCAATCATCAGCCAATTATGATTGTTTAAAACGACTTCTTGTACGTCAAGAACAACCAACATCAGTTCCTGCTTCTATTTACGTAAGAATTTGCTGGCATTAAAGCACTTTATTCTATTCTTATGATAAAATACTTATCAAATGTGTTTAATATATCGCACAAGAAGATAATCGACATAACATAGATTACAAAAGAAAGGTCATATCATTGATAGATATGATATTACGTTTAGTTAAAAGAACAAATTTGTTTAGAAAAAAAATACAGGAAAGATTGAATTGATTTTACAGATATTTATCGTTCAATAGAAAGTCCTTCGAAAGAGAATCAATTTTAATTCTTTGTCATGATAAACTTATCAAATATTGACAAATTTGTCTATTCATAATAATTGACTAAATCAAATCGTAAGAAAGAAAAAAAAAAAAAGATGCAAATATCTTTTATATACATTGTTTTCTTTTCAACCAAACAAAATTCCTGCAAAATCATGACTTAATTCATCATACAAAAAAGATTTTTTTATTTATAGGACTCTTTATTCATTGAATTTATTCAAAAATTTGGTCCATCTATCTTTCCACTTTCAAGGTTAATACTTCTTGGTAAACGTATTTTGCTTTATTCACGTTCACCTATTGGACCTCTTTGTAATGCAGGTAAATACTTTTCTTTTTCTTTTCTTAAAAAAAAACTTAAATTCTTCTATAGTTTATTTTACTCATATTATAAATCAATCAGTAAATCCACTTTTCTTTATTACTCTTGCTGATTTACTAATGCTCAATAATGAACAATCTTATATTGGTTGTACAACAGAAAAAATTTTTAAAGAAAAAACACATATCTATGATGTATTTATTGATTGTGATAATCAAATTGTTTTTCATACAAATGATTCAATTTTACAGTCAATTATTAAAATAACACGCCATGATCATAATCGCTTAAAAAAGACCATGACGTAAGTTAAATCGTCTTTAAAAATTAATATAGATTATATTTTATTCAATGACATAATTTTAATATATTATTATTGTATTCAATCGGAATTTTTTCTTTTCTTTTAGTTTAAATTCTTTTATTAACATTGGTAATCGTTTATCTCGATTATTGAATCAATTATCACAATCAAATAATAATCAACAAATAACTAAAGAAAATTTTCAATCTATTGACCTTCATCAACGTTATGATCGTTTATTTCTTAATGAATATATTCGAATACATCATATTCCAAATGTGATTATAAGTAATCCAAGCTCAACATTGTTTCCTGGTTCACTTTGTTGTTGTTTTTGTCCAGAATCCAATTGATTTTTAATTTCAGTTTGACAAAAAAAAAAAAAGAATTTATATTTAATCTCAAGTTAATTTTTCTTTTATTTTAATGATAATAATCGATTGTTGAAAGGTGATTGATTCATGTAAGAATTAGATTTTTCTTTGATCAAATAATGAAA